TGGGTCAAGTCAGTCACCTACTCATGGCTGCAGTATCCCTGGTATCCCACAAGGGTTTGGCTGGGTGGGTCTTGGTTGCAGCAGTCTTCCTTCTCCAGGTTTGCTGCAACATCCCCTTCCCTCTTGACGCCAAATGCTGAACCTTCCTCGGGGCTTCCTCTTGAGCCAATCAGCACCAGCCCCCAGTCTCATGTTCTCCAGACCCGGTATGTAATCTGAGATGTCTCTCCAGGATCCTTTCAGCATGCTGGAGAAGCACAGTCCATTCAGACCCAGCTGGGTGGGTTCCCATCCCCCAGTGTTTTTCCCTACCAGGCCGGGAGGTGCAGCGTGCCTGACCCCTGCCAGGTGCGTGTCCCCTCCCTCCCTGCCTGGAGCTTCCCTCGTGCTCTGGGGAAGTGTCCAGACCCTGCTGGGGAAGTTGCCCCCACAGCATGGCCCTTCTTTCGGGGGTCTAGCAGGGGCTGCATCCCAGCCACTGCTACATGGTGAATAGAGGAATGACTTTCAGGGAAGGTGAGCTACAAAATAAGCAGGGTTAAATCTGATAAAGAAGCCATGGCAGACCAAATGGCTGCAGCTCCACCATGATGTGGTGGAGGCAGCAGATGGCAACACTCTCTCTCCTGAAAAGCTACATATATTCTCTGACAGTGCTGTGACATGGCGAGTACAAGTTGCCACTATAATAAGTTTGTCCAGCCCTGAGCCATTGGTCTATAAGTCCTTAGTGGTGGAGCAGGCAGAAGATGTTAGAATTTCAACAGCTGGGAAGGCTGACAAGGACTGCAGTGGAATGAGATTGTTTTGGTCTCCTTGCCATTGGATTAAGGTCCCATTCTGTTGATAACCACGTAAAAGCTGATGTGCAGCAGCTTCTCCACAATAAAAGAAACGATGCCCAAGTGTCTTCCATGAAAACGGCTTTAACATGCTTTTCAAGTCCTTCACTGACCAGCTGGTAATGACAGAAGCAGGACTGTGAGGCCTAGAACCTCCTAGCCATGAACTGGTATGAAGATGGCAGTTACAAGAAGGTCATTTAAGACTTGGATTTGCAGGAGTGTGATTTGGCAACTGAACTGCGACTGAGCAGCCCATTTTAGGATCTGCTCTGCTCAACCAATCTAGGGAGGGGGCTAGAAAAAGTGCCCTAAAAAGAGTCTACCTAAACACCCTTTTCCTGACTGGATAACCATGTCCAGTGGGATCACCTTTAGTGTGGTCAAAATCAACAAAGACAAACAATATTTTTGGGGATCTGGAACATCAGGACCCTCATGGGCAATTTTAATAGTAAACGTCCAGAGTGCCACACTTTAATTGTGGCTTGAGAACTCATGCAACACAGTATTGACATCACTGCAATGATTGAGACCCGGCAAGCAGGAGATGGTCACTCAAAAAAAGGTATCTATACCATTTTCTAGAAGGATAAACAGGAAGGAGATCATTGACTTCAGGAAGTTGGCTTTGCCATTAACAATGAATTCATAAACCAACTCAACGAGTTCCCTATCAAACTTAAACAGGAAGGGAGTCAATATGCCAATGTAATCAGTGCATATGCCCTGATGCTGCTGCTGCTGAAATCAAGCAGGAATTCTATGCCAACCTTGACCGAGTCCTCTCTGATGTTCCAGAGGGAGACAGACTTATTCTGCTCATCATTTCAACACCAGAGTTGGAAGGGACTTGAACCTCTGAAACAGAACTAATCAACAAGGTGGAATGAGGGAAGTCAACTCCAGTGGCATTCTCCTCTTGACCAAATGCATAGCACATAGACACACCGTCACCAACACCCTGTTCTGCCAGAAAAACAGGTACAAGACATCATGGGAACACCTGTGATACAAGCACTGGCATTTGATTCACTGCATCATCATTCACACCCAGGATTACAAAGATGTCCACAACACCCAAGATATGCTAGGAGCTGACAGTTGCTGGACCGATCACCAACTGATCCACTCAATTGTCACTCAAACTGGCTCCCAAACAACAGATGCAGCAGAAGCAATGCCAATGTCAAAGGACTCAAGAACCCAATCACGAGACATCTTCTACCAGCGCCCCAACAAAAAATTGGTGAATTCCAATTAATGGGAGAACGTCAGCAGTGCTTGGGGTGTCTTCAAGTCCACTGACATCTGCAGCTGCGAACAGACGCTTGGATTCACTACCAGGAAACATTAAGACTGGTTTGATGATAATGACCAGGAGATCCAAGAGTTGATTAACCATAAGCGCAAGTCCTTTTGTGTTTTACAAAATGCCATCAACTCCAAGCAAAAGAAATTGAATCATCAACAAGCCAAGGCAGAGGTCCAAAGAAGGATCCGTGATATGAGGAACAGGTGGTGGGAAGAAAAGGTAAAGGAGATTCAACATCTTGCTAACATCCATGATATGCATGTATTGTTAGTGCCACCAAAGCCTTCTATGGTCTAAGCACTCAAGGACCAACCCCCTTGAGACATAAGGATGGAGGAGACCTGATCAAGAAAGGGCAGCCAGCAAAGCCTGTTGGAAGGAGTATTTTGAAGACCTTCTCAGTTGAGACTCTGTTGTTGACAAGGGTGTTCTCAACTCCTTTCACAGCTCCCAGTCAGAGATGATCTTGGAATCCTTCCAACCTTTGACAAGGTGAGGAAAACCATCAAGCAAATGAAGAATGATAAGGCATCTGGAGCAGATGGAATCCCTGCCAAAATCTTTAAGCAAGGGGGACAAGAGCTTACATCACAGCTCCATCTTAAGGATCTGGAATGATGAGGAAACCCAATAACCTCAGGGATGCCATAATCATGACAATCTTCAAAATAGGAGATAAGCCTGACTGTGGAAATTACAGAGGGATTGCCTTGTTGTCCACCACAGAAAAAAAAATGCAAAATCCTGAATCATCATCTTCCACTTGCTGAAGACCTCCTCCCAGAATCTCAAGTGTTGGTAGGGCTTCAAGAAGCACAACCAACATGACCTTCACTTCTCACCAGCTGCAGGAAAAATGGTCAGAACAACTTAAACCCTTCTACATGGCCTTATCTGACCTCATGAAAGTGCTTGACTCTGTCACCTGAGAAGCACTGGGGAGCATCCTTACGAGATATGGATGCTCACTGAAATTCATCACCATTCTTCACCTGCTCCATGATGGTATGTGAGTGGTGGTTCTCACTAACTGATCTATCACAGATCTCTCTAAAGTTAAGCAAGGTTGTGTCATAGCTCCAATACTCTTTTCAATACTACTTACCACGATGCTACAGCTGACCACCAATAAGCTTCCAGTTGGAGTGGAGCTAAACTACCAAATGGATGATATGCCATTTAATCTCAGTCTTGGTTTTGACTCAGAGTTGGCTCTCTCAACCTCAGTCACTGAGCTCCAGTATGCTGCTGATGCTCTAGTACAGGGGTGACCAACCTGTGGCTCCAGAGCCACATGCAGCTCTTCAGAAGTTAACATGCATCTCCTTGAATCTTTACACAAGCACATGGTGACCAGCTTAATGGATCTCCAGGCAATCATTGATCTTTATCAAGGCATACAAGAAAATGGAGTGGGTATGAGGGAGTATGAAGCCCACAAAACTAGCCCTTGAGGCAATGACCAATGAGCACTTGTGGTTCTTTGAGTAAGACCAGGCTTGGGAAACCCAGGGGCAGTCTCCCTTTTAACATCAAAGTATGGTGGGTGAGTAAAGGGGAAAGGGCCCCAAAGGGAACCAGATGGGCAAGGGCTGGGTGCCAATCAGGGGACATCATGGGATGGGCACTTGCTACAAGGAGACACCTCAAGTTGCTGGACAAGTACCATCAATGCTGCCTTTGGAAGACACTTCAAATCCAGCAGGAACACCAACACACCAACATTAGCATCCTCTCACAAGAAAACACATGGAACACTGAGACAGTGATCATTTACATCAACTCTGCTGGCTCCCCCACTGCCACCCACCCTTCAGCTCTGGCAGGGGTCTAGTGGTTGCTCCAGTCCCTGCTTGGCCTGGTAGCAGTGGCAGTAGCTCCAACCCAGGCTCTGGCTCCAGGGCTCAGTCAGAGCTGCCACCACTGCAGCTGCTGTATGGCTAGGCTGGAGCTAGAGCAATCACATGCTTCATGTCCCAGGCTGAAGCAGTTCTGAAGCCCTGCTAAAGCCAAAGAGAAGCAGCAGATAAGCAAAGGCTGGGGGGCAGGAAGTGGGGGTACAGAAGTTTCAGGCAAACAAGTAGCAGGGTGGTAGTGGGGGCAGGTGCTGGGGTACACAGGCACTGGCAGGGAGGGAGAAGGAGGGCAGGCAGGCAGCAGGGGGATAAGTGGTGGAGGAGACAGAAAGCAGGGGATAAGATATGGGGAAGCAAAGGGAAGAGGTCAGGCTGCTTGACTCCCCCACTGCCCGTCTCCCCACTTGTCCACCCATTGCTGCCCCCACCCTGTTACCACCTCCCCCCGCCATGGCTTTCCTCACTACTGTGGTGCAGGGGATGAATTTAACATAATTCTCCAATAATTAGATTCTATACATACAATAATTTTCTGCGTATAGAATCTAAATATTGGAAGGTCATCTTAAATTCAAACTTATCTTGGATCCAGGTAACTACAGTGCTAGCCTCAAGGTACAGCATGAAACAAAATCAGACAGATAAATACTAATACCTTTGCTTCCCACATTATTCCTCCAACTAGTCATTCCTTGGCCCCTCATGTCTGCGGGCTCACATAGTGAGATTTTCAGTGTAGACAGGGGCCATGGCCAGGCACTGTACACACATTTAACAAGCATGCAAGGCATCCTTCTCTCATTTTACACAAAGGATGCTAAAACTGTACATGCAGACAGTAACAAATCACCTCACTTCTTCCTAGATATAAACACCACTGACCCCTAGACAGCAGGTTGTATCATTCTGATTGCGCACACATTTTTCAAACCCACTAAAAGGAGAAAAAGAATGCATTCTGGCCAAAGAAAATGAAATCTCAATTACCTGTGTTTTCCAGAAGATACTTCAGTGAACACTCAATAGCACTGAAGAACCCATCCAGGACCATTTCATCCACATAATCAATGTATGCTTTCCAGGTGTCAGAAGTGGGGTTTGCAATGAATAGGCTCAGGTTTTCCTGAAAAGAAAGGATATGATCATCAAATACAGCTTGACTGAATTTCAGTCATGTTATAGGGGCCTGAAGGAGCACTGTTCAAACTGAAAAAACTTGCAGAATTCTGAAAAGATAGTATACTCAGATTCCCTCTAAAATTCATGGGGAGAGATAGACCCCTGCTACACGTAACATATAGTACACAACTGACTTGTTAATTGTGCAATAAATTTAGACTGGCCACATGTGCAAAGTAATTATCACATGATTAAAATGACAGCCCAGCTATAAAAAGAGCCAGCCAGCTATAAAGTTAGTGCTGATATTCCCTGGGCCTGGAAGTGGGGGGAGGTGGCGAGTGGCCAGAGCCAGGGGAGCAGCGAGGGAAGGGGGTGGCAAGCAGCCAGAGCTGGCAGCGCTCAGCAGCGGCAGAGTCAGCAGCGCCCAGCAACGCTAGCAGGTGCCAGCCACGGCGGGGCTAATAGGGCACTGACCACGGGGCCCCCCAAAGTACAGGGCCCAAGGCAGTCTCCCTGATTCACCCCCCTAGGATGGCCCTGAGCCAATTTGATCTTCTCCTTTGACATAGTAACTACTTGGGGAGATGAAGGGAGTGCTGTGTATACAGTGTATCCGAACCTCAGCAAAGTTTTGACAAGGTCCCGCATAACTTTCTCAAACAAATTGAAAAAACTACAAGATAGATTACTGGCTCAACAGCCACACGCAAAAAGATAATTATTAAAAGGTCCATGTCAGAATGGCAGGAAATGTGATATGAGTGTGTGACAGAATGGGAGCAACCTTGTTGAGCCTGCTGACTGACCACGAACATGAGCTGGGAGACAAGAGTCAATGGGATGGGAATAGATAATGAAGTGGGAGGTGGGAAGGAAATTGGGGTGGAGGAGGGTGGTGAAATGAAGGAAGTCAGCCGATGAAGAATAAAATAAAATGAAAGAATTTAAAAGAATTTAAAGAGAAAGAGAGAGGAAGTAAATTAAAGGAGGTCTCCTCCTTAGTAAACTGTTTAGTTATTCTGATAAAGTCCAAGATCTGCTATCATTGTCACTTGGCAGAGTATGTATTTGGTAAATGAAAAAGAAATAAATGCCCAGTATCTTCTACAGAGACTGGAGTCGATTTTCAACAATGTTGCCCCAGTATGAGACAATTAAATGAATTTTAGGCACTAAAAATAATCAGCCAGATATTCATTCATGCTTAGTAGGTAATGGGCATATCTACATGTGATGCTATGGCAATGTAACATCAGTGGGTACAAACCACGATGTCAACACCATGTCACCATAGTGACGAGCTACCTTGCCATAGTGCATTGCTATGGCAATGTAGGTGCTAAAAATAACCATGCGCCACCAGGATGGCACTCTTAAAGCAAGTACTAAACAATGGTGCAGTTACAACTGTGCCATGGGAGGGGCATGCGTAGACTCCTCCTCCTAAATGCCTACTAGTTTTGAAAATCAGCTCATTTGTTTAGGTGGACTTAAGAGCTCTCATTTTTTAATATTGAATTTGGAAAAAAAAGTTCTTCCTTTTTTCAAACATCTCTGTACATAACATTTTCAGATTTATTGCTCCGCGTAGCACTGGACAAGGTTGATATATCTGGTAACTAATATTATATTTTTGATTTTTTTAAACAAAGCTCAGTATCATATTTATATAGTATTAGCATTAGGATTTAAAAAAAACCTTTCCATAACACCCTGAGTTATCCTCCCACACTTTGTTAATAACGAATTTTAACTTCATTTATTTTTCACCATTTATAACATTTGCTTTCAGGGTTTCACTTAACTTCTGCTTCTGATTGCAAGTGTTACATTTTATCTCTCACACAGTAGCAATTTCTGAGGTTACCAATTCTGTAGCAAAATACTACAACTCCAAAAACACTTGTTTATATGTTTTTAATGAAACCTAAAGAAAATATTTCATGAAAGTATTTCATTTTGGTAATCTAGACTAAGAGGGTGGGTCTCTATCTCCCTCTTGTGGATATATACCATAAACAGATTCACGAGTCTGATATAGCTCTTGCACTAAAATGCCTGGTTTCCATAGCTCAAAAAGTACTAGTGCATGCTTTTTGGGTCCAGGGTTCAGACCCTAGTAATAATGAACCAACTGATGATGTCACATTGCATATTCATAAATGTTTCATAGACATTAGGGTTGGAAGGGACCTCAGAAAATCGAGTCCAACCCCCCGCTCAAAGGGCAGGAAATCAGGGGGGTCATGGGATCCCAGCAAGATAAGCATCCAATCTACTCTTGAAGGTGTTCAATGTAGGTGCTTGGACCACCTCCGATGGCAGGCTGTTCCAGACCTTGGGGGTTTGGACAGTAAAGAAATTCTTCCTTATGTCCAGCCTGAAACGGTCTTGCAGTAGTTTATGACCATTTGACCTCTTCATCCCTTGGGGCGCTCTGGTGAACAAATGTTCCCCCAGAAACTGGTGCTCACCCCTGATAAACTTATAGGTGGCCATCAGATCACCCCTGAGCCTGCGCTTTTCCAGGCTGAAGAGCCCCATGGCTCTCAGCCTGTCGTCGTAAGGTCTGTTTTCCTGACTTTTGGTCGTGCACGTGGATTTTATCTGGACTCTCTCAAGCTTCTCCACATCCTTTTTGAATTGTGGAGCCCAAAACTGGATGCAGTACTCCAGCTGTTAATTTGGGACCTAGTTGATTCTGGCTAAGTTATTTGAAAGTGTTAAGGCAGTTACCTCAGTGCCCTTAAGGTTAAACAATTCTAGACACTTGAATTAGAATGGGAAGAGAAACAGACCCTTTGGAAAGAATTCCATTATGGTATTTTCAAACAGCTCTGTAGGACTACTCACCTTCACCAAAGAATGAATCTTAAGCCCAGATTCTTTGATGAGCTGGTAACGCTTTTCCAATGATTCATGCCGGTCATCCAAACTAAACAGTGATTCTCTTTTCCCATCTTTCCTTTCAAAAATGGGTGACACCCAAGATCTCATGATATTCTGAATCTCCTCCGTATTGTCCTTGGCTTTCTGGACCCTTTTCTCAAGGTCATGAACACTGTCAATCACTTCAGAGATGTGATCCCAGAGGCCTTTCAATAAAGAAATTTTATTCAGTATATGCATAGCAATTCAGTAGGGCTCACACTATTCATATAGTCAGTTGTGTTATGGAATGTTTGTGAATTATTCCTTCACAAGAAGTTCCCACAACCACTGCCTGGGTCCCAACTCATTGTGAATATGACAGACCCACCATATCTACTGTCTAGAGTGTAAGGGGCATTTTCCTGTCCTAGCTTTTTTCTAATTCCTTTGTATGCCAGCACTTCAAAGGCATTGCCCACCCTCTGTTTTTTGTCAGCAGCACTGGCAAGCCTGCCATCCCTACTTACTGTGGTGTCCTTTCTGATCAGAATTTGTCCTTTCACAAAAAACAGAGTGAGGAGAAGTCACAAATCAACTAAATCAAGCAAGTAAAACAATGGGGTTGGCTAACTAGGTCAGATGTACAGAAGAAACAGGGTCCATCAGACTATTATTTTTCTATGGCTCTCCAGCCTCCCTCATGCTGCGTACCCCTGTGCCCAGAATGCCCAAAGCCTGCAGCACTTCACAGCTCTTCATTCATCACACATGCAGAGTGGAACCTAGCCAGTTACCCCAGGGGGGGGGGGGGGGCTGCATGCCCCTGGCAGTGGGACTGGAGTAGCCTGACCCGCAGTTTCAGGAATGGAAGTTCAAGGTCCCCAGCCAGTGCGGGGGTTTCTCCTTCACCCTAAACATCAGCAAATGAGGATTTAGTTAGGGAGCTTCTGGAAGGGCTGGACGTTTTTAAGTCAGCCGGCCCGGATGATCTTCACCCTAGAGTCCTAAAGGAACTCGCTGGGGTCATTGCAAGTCCCCTGGC